TTCTAATTATTGCATTTAACATGGCAGACAGTGCAGACAATCTGGTCTAACTTCATAAGATTTCTTGTCTTTTTCTATCATATGAAATGTTGGTACAACTTAAAAGTCCAGTGTGTAATATTTATGAGGATCTATGGGCAGAAATTAAATATAAAATTCCTAAGTATGTTTTCATTAGTGTGTAATTACCTGAAAATAGGGCTCATTGTGTTTTTGTTACCTTTGAATAAGCTGTTTTTATCTACAGACGAGTCCGCACTATTGAAAAGCCTTGTTTCTATGGTAGCCCAGAAGAGACTAACTAAGCACTGACGCTAGATAGGGCCATTCACATTTTTTGCGAATTTCACAGCCATCGTAGTTTCTCCTACATGCTTGGAAGGCAAGCAGTCTTTAGTTGGTTGCAATCTACAACTTTACCACTAGAATACATTCCACTAAATCCTGCACACTGGTCCTTTAAACTCCAGTTTCAAGCATCTTTTTGATGAAGAGAGATTTGTGGAAGAAAGATTTACCAAAAGAGTAATAACTAATGCTGCAGGATGCTGGGTTAGTTGAGATACACATTATGTTCCTGAAATGTCTGGTGTTTGAATCTGTCCAGAGAGTTTTCTAGTATATTCTTCTGCAACATAAGGAAAATGTATTGTGCATTATCTATCAACCTTACAATCTACAGTAAGGCTCTGCTTGGAAAAAACTGCCATTACCTCTGATCATGTCAAAGCACACATTTAAAAAGTCAGGTCAAATAACTTTTCCTTTTAACATGTTTCAAAAGAATTATTACAAGTGAAAGTAATAAAACTAATTAAATCACTTAAATTCACTAAAAAGATTTTGAAAGGTTATAGTCTGACATTTGAACACTTGTAATTGGTCATTTATTTACTATGTATGCAACACGCATGTTTAAATTTTGTTTATTTGTGCTTTTATAATTGATTAGGGGTCAACCGATATGTTTTTATAGTTTCTTTTATATTTTATTTGTAATTAATCAGACGATAAATATTTGGAACCACTAAGAATTTGCAGTAAAAACGAAAATCCTAGTGTAAAAAGTTTGAATAACAGTGCTTTAATGTGTCGAATATTGACCCTATACTTTTTTTTACAGATCACAATCTTAGTGAGAGTTCCTGTTTATATAATATATGCAAACTTCCTATCTAAACATATTATACCCTTTCTTCTTTAAGCTATTTCAGTCACAGTTATTTGCACTGAAACATTTCCAGTAACAACTATCCATTTCATACAGTGGAAAAAAAGTATGTGCGATCATGCAGGCTGTAATGTTAACAGCAAAACAACGTAAAGTTTTACCGAGCACATTGTACACTGTAATGTATAACATGAGCAACTGGTGTTTGATGAGCCAAATGATGAAAAAGGAAGCGCTGGCACAAAAACATTACTTGTCTAAAATCGCTAACCTGCACGTACAACAGCTGTTGTTATAAGCTGAGGTTAGTGAGCACAAGAATAAACCACCTGTCATCCTCTCTGGCTCTGCAGCAGCAGGAAGGGAACACAAAAATGGAATAAGCAATGTCTCCAAAACTTCAGCACTGGCTCTGACTAGAATTTAATTCTTTGGAAATGCATTTTAACTGTCGTAAGAGCAGCAGACAGCCTTGAGGGACTGACTCTGATAATGGATTTTAAGCCCTCCATGTGGCATGTCGCTGCTCTGTGTTAGCACCCACTCTGACAAGGGTGGTTAAAATAACACCAACCCAAAAGAGTCAGAAAAGAAAATAATACCACTGTGTCTGTGATCCTCTGAGTTAATCTTTGAAGACTAGAAGGCTTTGCCAGTCTCTTTGTCTACATGCGTATTAATCAGCCACACACGGAGGCGACTGTCCTGAATCATTTTTGGTAATATTTCATACAACATTTATACTTTCTGAAAATGTGAGTTGAAGCTAAATCGTTCCAAACCCATAGGTGAGCGTGAAAGCAAAAGGAATCTTGAACAAACGTGAGTATGTATGCATTCTCTTCTTCCCTTTCCCTTCTTTTGATTATTTAAGGTGGTAATTGTTGGCAGTTGTATGCTTCTGCTTGAGCTGAGAAAGGAAAAAATATTGTGTCCATGTGTATTTGCTTATGCATGCGTGTGAAAATTGTTTATAAAATATTCCACAATATGTCCAGGGGTTTGACATGGAATAGAGTTTTCAAAGGCTTCATAGGACATACTCATTCATATTTTATACACAATCTCTCCATTGTCTACTACTCTCCACCTCTGGGTCTAATAAGCATTCGTCTTGGTATAGGTTTAGTATGGGAAACAGCTTGTTCAATTTAAGTCTCCAGCCCAGTATGGGATGCAAACGCTACTGCCTTGGTGAAAAAACATGGTTGGAACCACTGTTACAGATAGAGAACTATTTCATACTATCAGTAGCACGTACATTAGACATGCATGGATTTGTACATTCAACAGTAATACAACAAAGTCCCATGTGAAATAGTTTTAGTTTAATAAATGCAAACATACTATAAAATGGGTTAAATTAGGCACAACAATTTTAAGTTAAGTGGTAGCACGTACCATTAAATGTTGCATATATGAGAAAAAAATGCCACTGTATATGTATATAATTCTTGACATGGGTTTTGGAGATATTGCTCATTCCATTTTATGTATGTCACAAAATAGACAGAAAAAGCCATGAGATGCATGAAATACTTGCATTAGTTGGAAGCCACATTTAATTGTGCCATGCAGGCAAGAGTGACACAGTGCACCATTGCTGTTCATGCATATTTTTTATAAATTATCCATATTGAGGGTGCTCGGGTCGCACAGCAGAAGAATGGCAAACAACTGCAGAGACCTAGGGTTATCATAAAGTGTTATCATATCATCAGTAACAAAATGATGAACATTATTATGTCAACAATTTTGGAGCAGAAGGCAATTACCACTATATGAAGAAGAAAACACATCTTAGACATAAAAAAGCAGCCACAAGCTACTAAATATGTCAAGGGTGGAAATTGTCTTGGTTCTGATGAATGATGGGGAATATGACTCAGGTTTATTAATATGGAGTAGTCGTCATGGTAACACAGTGGGAGGTAAATCATGGGGGATGAGTTGCAGAAGGCAGAATAACTTCATCTATATATGTATTTTGAAAGATTAAAAAAGAGTCTTATATGTGTGATAAACTTATATATTATAAATAAATATATATAATATAATATAATATCAGTGCTTACAAGCACTGATAGGTATTTAGTTTATTCTATAAAGTCTATTAGTCATAGCATACATAATCACTTGAAGACAGTCTCAGGAATGTTATTCATCATTTGTGATCAGTGTGATCAGACCAGTTCCACTGAGAAGGTTTTCATGAATATTCAAAATTGATTTTTTTTGTGAGCAAACCTTTCTTTATTTCAGTTCAAAGATAAAGAAGAAGGAAGAAAAACAAGAGAACTGCCGTATCAGTGTTTGTGTTTGGTCGACACAAACAACGAAAAGACCAGTCGATTTATAGCCCCGTCCAAGCTCTTAATGACTCGCCAAACCATCCTCCAGCAATTGAGATGGCTCATCAATTTAATTACTTTACAACCCAAGCCCGCCCCATGTTGTCAAAAGCCTGGCACTGGAAGTTTCCAGTCACCCTGTACTCGTAAATATGCCAGGAGAAAGCCTCTTTTGCACTGAAGTTTACAATGCTACATCTAAAATCAAAATAGGGTTTATGAATCAAAAAGGGACAGTTCCATTACCAAGTGTAATAAATATGTATTCATAATACATTTTCTACAAATAATAGTTGTATCCAAATATGTAAAATAAACATATTACAAAAACTGTTAATAGCATTACTTTTATTTTGCTGTTGTTGTCAGTGGACCAGTTGTTATTGATCCAAAGTTACAAACAGCCCAACCACATTGGGTGAGTTAATACACCTTATGTTGTTAATCTTTTTTTCTAAATTCTGAATGTGTACAAAGTTACTGTAAGTTCACAGTGTCATACCTTAACAGTACAGTAAATACAGGGGCACACATTACAACAGTAAATTGCTTCTAACCCCAAGCCCCACAGTGGCCATATGTACACTAAAGAGCATACAGTAACACCAAAGCATACTAATTATGGCTGTAAACAGCACATAAAATATAATAGATTGCTGGAAATATCACAAAAGTTGTGCAATATAGCAGATGGCATGCAAACTTAATGAGTGGCATTATCTTGGGAAATTAACATTAAAAAAAGGTGATTATGTAAATGAAGGAATATATACCATGTTTTACTTCAATATGCAATGAGTCTTTTAGCTTCAACGTCCTGCAATAACTACTGAGCAGCACAAGCACTGGTCATTATTTGAACTTCATTAAAATTTGATTTGTTATTATTTATTTCATTTATTTCGAGGGAATTGGCTATTGTTTGTCACTCACCTGTCTCATGTTTCCAGAGTTTTCCAATGTACCCAAAACCTTTTATAGGTGCACAGTAAATGGCTAAAATATAGTACATGGAATGTGTCAAGCTTGAATGCTAGCATGCTCGGACAGCATGCATCTTTTACTCCATTGTGTCTAGCCAGACTAAAAGTGTGTGGCCCTAGTCTGCTGCCCCACTGAAATCGGTTGTCAACACCATCTGAGCCCTGATAGCTAGTTAGCTACAGCTCAGCCCCAGTTCAGCTGACAGCAGGCCTGGATTATAAGTGTAACTACTAGGCCTGTTATCAGTAGGTCTATCGGGGGAAACAAATCTCTCAAATAGACAGACAGGCAGGCAGACAGACACACATACACACACACACACTTTCACACACATAACCCCTCAACAAATAGCAATGTATTTACTGTACACGTTATTATTAATTATGCAAACCAACCAATTATTAAATGGTAAAATTTTTTATAAACCCTGGCCTTTTTTTAGGACAATAAATAGATTTAATTTTAAATTTAATTAAAATTTAAGCCACACTTACCATGCAGCCAGATGACTCTAACTGTCTGTCAGACACACACTTGAAATTCTTCTTGCAGCCGCCATTATCTTTGGAGCAGTCACGGACAGGCCCAAAAGATGCCAGTAGGTCCTCTACTGTCTCAAAGTAAGTGGACATCATGGCCTCTTCCCTAGTATGGAAGAAGAACAATGTTAAAAAGAAGAAAATGCGGATGCCTTTGCATATGTGTTCACTGTGTAAATAAGGATGTACTAGTTGAAGTAATGACAAGTGAAAACAAAAATGCTTGAGCAGATGAACATAATCCCTCACCACCTGGAAATCAGTCTCTCTTAACCTTGCCGCTTCTAGTGCAATTAAGAAGCTATTCATGCTTGCACATAATGTGACAAAATTGTGATGTTTTGGTGGCTTTTACCCTAACACCTGCAATTAATGACTACTTGTAATGTTTTCAACTCATGTTTTTTATTTTTTTCGTAAAAGGGTATGAAAGTCAGCTTAATGCCTAAAATATTAACATAATGTAAATTTGGAAAATGACTAACAATAATATACCTGTTATTGAATGCAGGAAAGTTTTTGTTTCCTGACAGGACAGGTGTACCCCGTGATCTTTAATTTCATTTTGTGACTGACTCAATGCAATAGTAGTTTAAAAAAAATGGATGTACCCCTAGGGCTTATGCTGTGCTGCAGCAGTCTACAGCGTTTTTAAAATAACTGTTCTAAAAGTTTCAGTGCAGTGATGTGTGCAGGGGTTCATCCTGGTTCGTAGTGGGTCCTATCTGAGACTAATCGGTACATTGACATTAATTAGACATGTTTGTCACAGTGAGTTGATGGAGAGCCTAGCGAATCAGTATTCTCCATCCATTAACCCTCAGGACTTATCCAAGGCCAAGGCATTCAGGCCCGCCCTATCTGGCAGAAGAACAAAAAAGGAAAAGCACAGACAAATGCATGCATACTTACTCAAATATAAATAGAGGCAATAAGAGGTAAATGGCAGAGTAAAATTAATTTATTTCTCATTTCTTTATTTCTAATTTGTTTAACTCAGTGTATTTTATTCATGCATTTAGTTTTCTTTTGACATATAGGATAGTATTATAAGGATATTCTTCGTTTGTGGAACGTGTTATTTTATTACATCTGCATAATAATGACACTTTTTTCAAATTACATTTATTGTTCATTTAGACTTAAATTTGAAATTGGTTCATAACAAGTGTACAGACATGCTAGCAGCTCTGTGAAGCTGTTCTTGGACACAGCGGTGGTTTGAGATAAATGCTAATATCAAATGCTAACATGCTGCTGTTTAGCAGGTTAATGTTTATTATGTTCATTGTCTAAGATTAGCGTGTTAGTACGTTAACATTTGCTAATTAGCTCTAACCACAAACCACAGGTGAGGCAGGCTGATAAGAATGCCATTAGTATTGCAGGCATTTAGTCATAAAACAAAGTACTGGGCACATGAAACGTTTGACCTAATGATGGTGCGGGATGAAAAAGAGGGGATCATCAAAGTTATTACAATTAAACCTTGGAGAGACATGAATGTGTGTACCAAATGTTATGGCTATCCATCCAGTAGTTGTTGAGACATTCCACTTAAAACCACCAAAGTCAACCTTAAGAAAGCACTGTAGGGGAAGTCAGGGGATGACTAAACTCTAAAGTTACACAATTTCATGGCAATCCATCATAGCAATAGAGTGGACAGTTTTTGAGATAAGCCTAGACCAAAGTGGTGCACCGACCGACAGGACGACACCGCCCTCCCAAGAGCCAAAAAGAGTTGAGCAAATTAGTATGGTTTCAATTCATTTGTGTGTCAGTCACTCTGACACTACCAGGTCCACTACTGTTTAAAAAAATCCTCGTAAACAAAGGACAAAAATATCATTTCCGAATGCTGGATTTTTATGCTTTCTTCTGAGAAATGTCAGTTTGACCAATGCTGTATAGCTCAGCTGCTGTGTTCGCTTCAGCATGCTCAGCCATGCTCATACACGGAGCTCTGCATGCCTGCTGTCAGAGTGAACGAAGGGGTAAGCAACCCCTGTGTTTTTCTTTGCAAAGAAACAAAAGCACTGTCTCTTGCAATGGGACCGCAGGGACCACAGTGTGTTGTGAGGGCAACTTGACTCTACAAACAGCAACAAGATCTCAAATGATGGGAAGACAGATGCCCTGCTGAGCAAGGAGGATTTTGGAGTACTGTCACTGTCAGTGTTTGTATGTGTCTTTGCCTCTGTGTACTTGGGTGCTTACGTGGCAATGTCCTTTCAAAGAAGATACTGAAAATAGGGCCACTGAACCAATAATATACATATTGATGTTGCTGTTAATTTGATTACATGTACCTATGTAACCTCTCTTCAAGGTGGATATGAATCCTCACAAAGTCACTTATTTTGCAAAGTTTCTTCAATGAGCAAATATGGCAAAGTGAACTATTATTGACTCAGTATTCACTGTTAAATTTTTGTTAAAAGAATTGTATATCGTGACCTTGTCATTGGCTTCAGGAAAAGATGAAAGGCAAAGCATTAAAATTCATCAAAAAGGCAAGAATGCTCTGTGCACAGCATTGACAGAAATACCTTCAATATCCATATCTTATTATTGCAGGTATACGTGGGCAGACACATTTTCAATAACAAAATAGTATCTTTTTCTTTTTCATAGTATCTGCCCATGTGTGATCGGCATTTGGAATGCTGTATAACATCTCACATTGTTTTGAGCGAGGGATTCTTTATTTTAAATATTTGGTTTTCATGTTAGATTTATGGCACATCAGCCCATAATTGGCACATCTTCCTTGTGTGAGCAGTGACGTATAACCACTCTCTGACAGCACATTGGAACTGTCCCCTTTGCAAAATCAAACCTTTCCTGACACACTGCTGTGCTAATAGCAAATCACTCACTGTCACACACACAGAAAGAAAAAACATCTACCAAAAGAGCCCAGAAAGAAATCACAGTCCAAATGTAAATATTCTTCAGGCATCTGTTTTTTGTAAGCAAAGTATACACTAGCCCTGTGGTGTTGTTTGTCTATAACGTTATTAATGGCCACCAATGTAAATATATGCCAATGATCCATCCGATTTCAACATTCATTCAAATGTGCATATGAATTACATCAACTTAACAGGGGAAAAAATAAAAAATAAATAAAAATAAACATATATATCACAGAATGGTTTTAGATTAAGTTTGCTAAAGCAAAAGGAAGCATGAAAGAACAATATTTACATTTACAATATTTTAATCATTTTAGAACAGACCCTTTGTTTAAACAATACTATAAGACTAGAACATTTTAAGATAATTAAAATGTCACCTCTGTTTGCAACTGATTAAGATATGTTTTATGGTCCCTAATAGAGGCTGTTGATGTGGTTATGGCAGACCCATTATGCATTAGTAGTATTGATGTCATCCAGTAATTCCCAGTACTCAAAATCGATGCACTAATGCAACCCTCCAAACACCCTTTTTTTCTGGCAATATATTACAGTTTGATGGATTTGTGAGCCAATCTGCTGAAGTCAAGCATTTTAGAAGATGCATGCCTTTCTTAAGGCCAAATAAACAGAATTTGTACACAGGGTGGGAAATTAACCTTTTGGTCAACCAGCCACAGTCGCTGGAGGATATCTCAAATTCATGTGTTTAACTGTTTTCATTTTGCTTTGTTCGGGTTAGCATTTATCGAATAGCCACAGGATATGTGCCCTGTACTCTCAAAATACATAAAATGAGAAGGCCCAAAAACCTCTAAAATGTTCACATTTGTTTGTTCTTCCATATTTACTAGGATAGTTGGTGGAGCTGATAATTATTATTGCCACTCAGACACATACAATCAACCATCAATCTTAAACTGTTATCCTATTTTACTAAAATGAAAAAACAGGTGAGAATTAAAGAAGTTCAGCAACAATAATTGCACATCCCTTTATTCAGTTTACAAAAACAAAATGGATTAGTCTTTGGATAATAAGTGGAACACAGGAGTCCAGTGTCTAGATCCTTTTCTGTAGCAAATTTGTCCACCTCCACTTATTAATTAAGTGCTCCCAAGCAAACTGACAGATGAGGTCATCCTTGGTCTAAGTCAAGATCTGGTCTTCAGTTGTTCCACACCTCCAAAAGAAACAGACTGAGGGGTCATTCTTAATATAGTAGATATCTGAACCACTTCAACTGTCCACATACAATGTTCCTGACATAATGGCAAAAAGAAAATATCTCCCTTGTGTATTGAAACTGAATGGCTCACAACCTGACACTCCCAAATCACATCCAACAGGTTACCTAAAGGAACACCGCCTTTTTCCAAACCAGAAAACTTAGGGAATCAAGAAAAGCAAATTACAGTGACCATGTGATTATCTATTTGGGGCAAACGAGCTAGTAAACTGTTCCAGAGCCAAGGACCCTGCAAGTCAAACGGTAGAGATCATCCCAATACTTACTAGGCAAAGGTTAGAGGTAGAACAGATTTAGTCACTGTGGACCTCTGCAATAAAACCTTGCCTTTAGAACATGGAATGTAACCACTCTTTGGGGAAAGTGCCTGATTTGGTGCGTGAAGTTGAGAGGTACCAACAAAATGCAGTTGGGCTCACCTCTATGCACAGCTTTGGCTCTGGAACCAAACTCCTTCATAGACGGTGGACTCTCTCCTACTCAGGCACTGTCCATGGCGAGATGTGCCAGGCGGTTGTGGGACTACTGACAAATCACTGGCTGGCTGCTGCACAGTTGGACTTTCTCCCGGTGGATGAGAGGGTCACCATCATGTGGCTGCGTAATGCAGAGAGAAAAACTATTACTGTTGTTTGCGCATATGCGCTTGTTTTTCGTTGCTAGGCAACAAAGGCTAGTAAATTGTCAGGCACAGTGGCCCAAGTCATGAAAAATCCCACAGCTACACAAACTATACGCCTAAATTTGAGACATGGGAGCTGCACATTACAGAAGTTGAATTAAGTTTATTTAACAAAGTGTGCAGATTTGTTTTGAATGTTGATGAAGCATAAATGCATGTTAGAAATAGCTTCATGTTAAGAGCAGCTAATCCATTCTGCAATTTCTAAATCATTTTAGGACAGTTTAAATAGTTCATAAGGATCAAGGGTT